CGAATTCCATAGGTGGCGTTGTGGGTAGTGAATTTCCCGTCCACTGCAGTGAATTCGAGATGTCTACAGTTCTTGAAAACGGCGTGGAAAGCACCTGATGGTGGTACCTGTGTTCCACAGAGAAACTTTTTGTAAAAGTCGTGTCCGCAGAAGGTGGTCGCCTTCGACCATCCAGGAAGAAAGAGTGCGGGGTTTTAGGGGACGCCGGTCCACTTTGTGGAAGAAAAACGTCCTCATTCTGACCGTCACTGCCTTGGGAAGGCAATGTGCCGGGAGTGGAGCATCCCCCTGAAAAATCCTCCGAGAGCGCGGTTTTTCGCTGCAATTTTGAAATGGATTTCATCGAATATGGACACGTAAAACATTACTATTAAAAACGAATCTGGATGCAAAAGGCGATTTGTTCAGGGGTTTTTAATTCCACAAATTAATTAACAAGATAAATTATCCTCCCTCAGACTTATGGTATGATGCACATACTAAAAGAGGTTGAAGGAAACACGGAAGTCTTCACGAGTAAGCTGAAAGGTACGACTGTACTAATTGTGCAAGATAACAAAAAGATGATTAGAAAATTAGACACGATTGACTGGACAGAAAATTTATTCGCCTGAGGTTTCGAATTCACGCTCGAATCCATCACCAGAAACAGCATCAGACACGGCTTGCATTCCTGAAGAATTCCCGAATAATGCTTAACGATTTCAAATCAAAGTGAATGTACTTGTTACAGATACGTTTTTTGGAAGAAAAAACGTTTAGATTTACTTTTGTAGAACAATCTTGAGAGAATGCTTAAATGACGTCAAACAGTAAACTCCTCTGTAATTTTTGATTAAGGATTTATTTTTAAAATTTGACGATCCGAAGAGTGTCAAAAGGTAACAATTTATTAAAAGATTTCAATATTTTTCCGATTAATTTTTACTTGTGAATGTTTTGCTTAAAATATCTCATTAATCAAACATTTATTGACATTTCATAAGACAGTCCTGATTATTGTCTCGTTTACAGAAAGTTATCTGTGGGCTGGTGTACCTATATTATACCTTTTGTCATCTTCACACTAATTAGCGCAAATATTTTGCGACTCTTCGGTTGTTTACGATGCTATCAGTGAAAGTGTGAGTTTTTCTTAAAGTTCAGTCAACCTTGATTAAGAATCCAGTGGTTTGTATGCATTTAAAACGGCATTTCAATGACAAAAACATTGAATATTTTGTGGTAGGATGTAAATGGTCACACTTTTTTTTGATGCGTGCACATGCGTTTTGATATTTGAATTTGTGACAAATAAATGGAATTTACTCCGATGCCAGATGCGTTAAAAAGATGCATGAAACTGTTTTGATAAGTATACCGAGTAAACTAGAGTGCGGTTTATTAAATTGCATTTAACTGCATCCGAAAAAGGGTGACGATTATCCGATCTGGCTAGTTGAAGTTAGTTTTATTTGGACGCTAGTTATGATTAAGAATTCCTTGGTTCCATTTTTCGCTCTTGTCTGTTATTGCTAAAAAGGAATGTGACGCTGGGGCATCGGAAGTTGAAGAAAAATCATCTCAGGGAACAACGGTTTAAATGTCATACAGCGTCCTCATTTCATGGGATAGCTCTGTCGATTTTTGGAATCTGCATCTGAATCTAGACTCCTTTGCTTACCACTTACGGTATAGCAAACGGTAAGTTGTTTCATGGCGGCGTATTTGCAGGATATGTTTAAGGTAATTCTCCAATACATACTATATTCTCTTTTAAAAAAAGTATACCTGAAAGGCGTTTATTATAGGGTAAAATAATGTTGAAACAAGGCGCTGCGATTTTTATTACAATTATCTAGCTGATGTTAAAAAATCGCCAATTTTCTAAAGACCGATATTTGAAACAAAGCCTATATACCTAGTTTAAATTGCAAGTCTTCTATCACATTGACTGCCCTACTGCTTAATATATGCAATTATTCCTACGTAGGAAACGTCGTGCAGAGCTTACAGGATTTTAAAACGAAAAAAACTTAGATTTACTTTTCATTAACCACGCTTTTAAAATCCTTAACAATACTATGTGTGCAAATTTAAAAAAATACCTAAAAGTTTAGCCAAAAACGATGCCTAGTTTTACTGACATTTTTATGAAAACCAGAACTGTTGTTACCAAAGTGAGTGCGTGCGGCCTACACATATGTTAATCGTGTTTCTATATTCATAACGATCATGCGTGAATGCGGAGGGGAGTGCATTCAGTAAAATTTTCTTCCTTTGATAAAAAAGAAACTTCCACCAAATTCAAAATGCGACCTTTCCAATACCTATGTTTTTAAATTATACTCGCGACAGGCTTTCGAAAAAGGCCAAGATAACTGGCTCTGTCATAACGGAAAATAATTTTGCCTACAAGAGTGCAGAAATAGAAAATTAGCTTTCTGCTTCTTTGTTAATTGTAAAATGTTTTGGTCATACTTGCGCACCATTCAGCAGAAACCTTCATTCCCAGCGAAATGATATTTTAAAACGTCGTTTTATGGGTATTTTTAACTGAACTATAGTTAGAACAAATTCAAATATCTGAATTTTGCAAAGAACTTGCTTTATGTTTTGCAAGTCATGAAAACTGAAATCTCATCTCAAAGAAAAAGCGTGCAGCCGGGGCTGCCATGTTCTTCT